GTTAGTCCTCGTAGAATGAGGTTTACCTAGTTCAAATTAAGCGCTCCACTAGTTCGAATTAAGTTCGAACTAGCGGTTTGTATGTGTAGCGCCTATGAAAGTTAATTTGAACTAACAGCTGTTAGTTCAAATTAACTTTGTAGTGTAGACATACCCTGACTTAAAAAAATAAGGTAGCACCTTAGAGACTAACAAAAATTTTTGTATAGTATCATGAGCTTTCATAGGCACAACCCGCCCCACTCATCTGAAGAAGCTCATTAAAACTCATTAAAAGTAGACACTTTTCCAGCGGATTGGAGGCATGGGCTGTTGGTGCAGCTGGAGCTAGGGGAGGCAGGACCCCTGCCCCACATACAGCCCTGCCTCCTCTGCTGAGGCCCTACCCCCAGGAGAGGAGGAGACGGGGCAGTGCATTGAGTGCATGCCCTGGGAGGAGAGGTGTAGCAGCGTGCCAAGTGTGCCCCAGCCTCCCTGGAGCTCTGGGAGGGGAAGAGAGGCAAAGGGGCACATGCCCCACCTTCCTGGAGCAGCGGGGGAGGGGAAGAGAGGTAAAGGAGCGCGTGTGCACAGCACAGCTCCCTTGCCTCCCTGGAGCACTAGGGGAGGGGAAGAGACGTAAGAGAGCGTGTGCGCGGCTCCCCTGCCTCCCCGGAGCACCAGGGGCAGGAGAAGGCCACGCAATTCCAGCTCCCCAGCCCAGAGCACAGGGAGTGCGGGTGCTGGGGGCAGCAACACTCTAGCCTCAGAATGCCTACAGCAAGCTAGCTGGTGGATTGGGAAAGCAAAGCCTTCCCCCACCTAAGCCACCTGATGCCCATGATTGGAGGAGAGTAATGTCGTACCTACATTTTAAAAAGATCTAGGGATGAGCCAGGGAATTACAGATCAATGAACCTGATATTTGTACCTCGCAAAATGGCCAAAATAATAATTAAAAACAGAGCAACAAAACATCTGGAAGATCATAGGTCTAATAGGATTGAAGCAGAATCTTCACAGGAAAAAATGTGTTTTACTAATCTCCTAAAATTCTTTGAATGGGTCAAAGTAATAGATAAAGGATAATTATAGTTGACTTAATTTAGTTTGGTTTCCAAAAGACTTTTGAACATGTCCCACACAAGAGGCTATTACAGAATCTAAGGGTATGTCTACACAATGCAGCTTTTAGCAAAAAGACAGTGTCAACACAACCTGTCACTAAAATTCAGCTTCTGTGAACACTGTTTGTTTACACTTTTGTCGATAAATACTTGCACCCCCCATGAGTGGGTTTCATTTTGTTGGCAAGACTGCCCTATTGTTGAGAAAGTAGCGTTCACATTTTCACTTGCGCAACAAAACTTTGTCATTCATGAGGTAAGAGTTTAAACACCTGTGAACGATTAAAGTTTTGTCAATGAAATGCAAGTGTAGACATACCCTAAGTAATCATCAGGTGGGAGACAAAATACTGACATGGGTCCAAAACTGGCTAAGAGACAGAAATCAAGGAATAGGATTAAATGATAAATTTTCATCATGACAGAGGGCTAACAGTGAGATATTCTTAGGTTCTGCTGTGGGTCCTGTGTTTATGGATGATCTGGAAAGGGAACTGAGCAATGAGGAAGCAAAATGAGCATATGTCAGCAAAGTAATTTAAATTAGTCGGCATCACAAAGGGCCATGAAGAACTTCAGAGAGACCTAAGCAAGGTAGGTGAATGGGCATCACAATGCAATTAAACTTTCATGTCACTAAATACAAAGTAAAGTATAATGGAGGAGAAAAGAAACTACTTGTGTGCCATTCTAAATGAAATGATCAACACAAAAGAGACCTGGGTTTCACCATAGATGGCTTAATGCAGACTTCAGGGCAGTTTGTACTTGCAGTTAAAAAAATCAAGCAAAAAGTTACGATAGATAAGAAATGGAATGGAGAACAATGCAGACTACATTATAATGGTTTATATAAATCCATGGTGTGGCCTTGTGGAATAATTTGTGCAGTGCCGATCACCCTATTTCAAAAAGGATAGTGCAGAATTACACGGGAGTGGGGTTTCAGAGAAAGCATAACCAACAAGAATGACCAACTATATGGTCCCAGCACACACCCCCACAAAAGTACAGGGACACTCATTGAATTTAATCTGTAACAAATTGAACAAGAGTACAGGGACAGTCATTGAATTTAATCTGTAACAAATTGAAAACAAACAAAAGGAAATATTTTTGACACAATGTGTAATTAAACTGCAGAAATCACTGCCAGAGGAAGTCATTGAAGCCAAGATCTAAACAAGACTCAAAAAAAGGACTGGGCATTTTATATAGATGTCATAATTAATCAGAATTAAATTTTTGAAAGGGATATGAAATCTCATGCTTCAGGGCTTTAGCAAGTCTCTACGTCAGAGGTGGGAAAAATATGGTCCATGGCCTGGATCTGGCCCATCAAAGTTTTGGATATGGCCTGCCATGATACTTTGTGTCACCAATGTATTGTTGGGTGGAAGGGGCTCCACACCCTTCTCCTGCCCCCCATACAAATCCTCGCAGCTCTCATGGGCCAGAAACTGGCCAACAGAAGCTGCCTGGGCCATGTTTGTGGCACAGTGCACAAAGCCCCCACCACCACGGAGCGTGCAGCACAGCGATGCACATGGCCGCAGTCACTGGCTGCTTTGAGCAGCATGCAGAGGTGCAGCCAGCAGAGAGCCTGCCCAAGGGTTTGAATGGGCTGCTGGCTGGGAGCTGCCTAAAGTAAGCACCTCCTGACCAGAGCTTGCACCTGGCACCCCTTCACTTCATACACCCTAACTCCTTGACCCAGGTCACAATCCAAACCCTGTGGACCCCCTGATCCTACCCCAAACTCTCTTTTGCACCCAACCTCCATTCTAGACCCCGCATCTCCTCTATTAATATCTCAGAAGAGTGTGACTCTGAACCACTTTTGATCGGAATCACCCTCCATCAAAAATTATTGCCCATCTCTGCTCTACGTGTTAAGGTAAGAGCTACACTGCAATTGAACACCCACAGATGGCCTGTGTCAGCTGACTCGGACTTGCAAAGCTTAAGGAGCAGGCCCATAAAATTATGAGAATGACATCTGGGCTTGGGATGGTGCTCAGGTTCTGAGACCTTGTGATGAGGGGAAAGATTCTGTGACAGACCGGGCCAGATCTGGGCACAGCCAAGGGCGTCCGCTCAGGACGGATTGCTCAAATTTGGAACTCCTTACAGCCCTCAGACTGGAGACCTTCCCAAATAGGTCACAAACCAGTCCCCCAGAGCATCTTCAGATGCCTGCCTGGACAGCCAAAAGTCTCATGAGCAAAACCCCTCTGACACCCCAGCAATATCCGTGCCCCAGATGGTCCCGGGCCTAATACACAGGTGAGGGTTATTAGAACCCAATCTCACCTACCCTGAACAAGTTCTGTCCAGTTCCAAGAAACCAGCTACAGATCCCAGGTCAATTTACACTCTCGATCTTACCCACAAGATCACACTGAGCCAATCCTTTAGAATCTAAAATCTAAAGGTTTATTACTACAAGAAAGAAAAGCATGAGAGTAAGGTTGTTAAAGTATCCTACATTACATGCATCAAATCTCCTAGTTCTCGATGCAGGCTTGAAGCAGAGATGTTATAACTGTTGGCTTAAAAGTCTTTGGTGTACATCCTATGTCAGGATGGGTCCACAGTTCTTTCCAGCTCCTCGATCCCTGCACTCTTGCCTCTGGGATTAAGAGCTGAGCTGAGCACCAAGATGGAATCGGCCACATGGCCTATTTATATTCCCCCCCCCCCCGGCTTCTTGGGCCCACAGTTCTTCCCGGCTCGTGATTCCCTGTGAGGCCGCATCTGGGGTCAGGAGCAGATCTGAGGACCAAGATGGAGTCGGCCACATGACATCTTTATCTCCCCCCCCCCCCGGCTTCTTCCAAGCTGGAGACAGTCACATGGTCAGTGGCCAGGTGTGTCTTTGGTCTTCAGAGGTCCATTGTTCCCAGGAGCTTTGTTCATTAGCATGTCTATGGGCTGAGCATTCCTTGTCTATTGCTCAACCACAAACAGAGAAGTTTCCAGTATTGACACAGAATACATATTCATAATGCCACACCCAGATACTATACAAGTGTATGGATAGCATATACAGAACCAGTAGAAGGAAAGCTTTCATTTGAAACCTTACATGGCCCCCTTTGTATCAATTTTTGGGGGCAACTCCCCCCCCCAAAGGTGCAGCAGTGATCTGGCTGCTCCCCTCAAAATCCAGTAACGTGACAGATCCCAGAGTCTCTTCTCCAGCCCAAGCTGAAACATCAATATCATAGTGTCACAGACCTGCAGCCTGAGTCCTGAAAGCATGAGTCAGCTGGCATGGGCCAACTGTGAGTGTTTAAGAATATGTCTCTACTGCAATTAGAGACCAGGATGAGATCTACTACAGAGGCAGATTAACCCACATGTGCCTATTGCAGGGTTTCTAAGCTTTCTTGTGAAGCATCTTGATCTGGCTACTATCTGAGACAGGGTACTGGACTAGAAGAACCGTGGGTCTAATCCAGGCTGGAAGTTCCTACATTCATATATTCGTATGCTTCCCTGACTTCCCTTGGAGACTATTTCATGGAGCAATAAATTTGATTTTTCTGGAGTGCCAGAGGTATGCCTGGTGCTTAGAGACAAATGAAAGATCCCTCACCACAAGGGGTTTACAATCCAAGGCAAAACATATCAAGGGAGGACAAACAAAGCAGAACAATGGGAGGCACAGATGGTATAGGGAATATTAGGATTTGGGAAATATTTCCTGAGAATCACTCTGGCTGTGTCTACATTGGCACCCTTTTCCGGAAAAGGGATGCTAATGAGACAAGTCGGAATTGCAAATGCCGCGGGGGATTTAAATATCCCCGCGGCATTTGCATGAACATGTCTGCGGAAAAGGGTGCCAATGTAGACACAGCCATTGGGTTTATGTACCTTTACAAACATAAACAGCTATCACATTCCACCTCAGTCACTGCTCTGCCAGCCTTCCAGCTGGAAGACAAACCCCTATTGCAATATTCATCTAGTTTATGTGGCCTGAATCCTGTGATGGAAGTATCCACCCCACACAGGCCCTGAGCAAGATCATGTGAGCCAAGAGGGGCCCAGGCAGCCTGAGGTGCTCCACCTGGAGGGGAATCAGGGAGTGATACAGTCTACTGGCAGATAAAGTCTTGTTGAGGGAGAAGTTAGAATAGGCTTGGAATCCAAGAAGTGACAGCAGAAGGGGCTACAGCATGGAGGTCACTTCCAAAAGGAAAAGGGAATTGACTGGAGACAAGAGTAAACTCGGGCAAGAGTGGGGGGTCCTTCCCTGAACTAAGCAGTCTAGCAAAAAACTAGGAAGGTTGAGGTAGCTAGGAGGAGCAGAGGAATCTCCGGTGGTAAACCCAGAGATAGACAAGGAGATAGAGGGCTGGGATAGGAAAGGACCAAGGGAAACAGCAACAGGGTCTGAGACCGAGCAGACCTGAACTGATAGTCACAGGATCCCTGAGCTGGAACCCAGAGTTGCAGGTGGTCCCAGGTACCCCCTCCAGGCACTGCCAAAGCGGCACAGGACCTGGAGACTTGGAATGGAAGGCCTCTGGGCAGCTTATCTGGTAGAGCTCTATTACCCCCTGAAAGGGGATGGACTATACAATGACCTGGCCAGAGGAGTGAATCTTGAAGAGGGAGCACCTGAGTAATGGAAGGAGACAAGAGGTACAGAGTGAGTAACTGACAGAAGGGAGCTCCAGAGCTAATTCCCAAATCTAGTCACTAGGAGGCACATATGCAGTGAGTGGACCCCTTTACATTGCCGAAGAGTTCTGTGGTCCAGGGAGGGCATTTGATATATCTTTTTAATGGAGCAGCAGCCTATTCGTAAAGCACTGTTATTTCTGATTAATCTGCTACTCACTGCTGACTTCATTCATACCATGGAAGAGGTGGCTATACACTAAATGTACCTGAAGCTTGCGCGCATTTGTCTTTGAATGGCTAAAACATGTGTCACCTCCTTTCAATATAAGATTGCTCTAATTCACTATAATATTGCTTCATCCAACAACACACTCTACTCCTCCCAACAAATTATTTCTTTCTTCTTCCCCTGGAGCATTCTTCATATATAGGTCCTCCTGCCCCAGTGCTATAATTTGGTTCCCTCCATCCTCCTGTTATTGCAATTATCAACAATTTCTTTTCTTCTGTTACTTTCTCCCCAACTCTTTAAAATCTGCCAATGTTCACTCTCGTCTTTCCTCCACCCCTTCGCCCAGATGCACACACTTAGGTTACGTCAAATCAAGATACGCAACTTCCAGCTACCTGGCTGGAGTCGATAGACCTTGATTCATGTTTGCTCCACTATCCCTATAGTGGGATGCCGACAGGAGCAAATGCTCACATCAACTTCCCTTACTCCTCTCAGGAGCAGGAGTACCAGCCACCGATGGGTGCACCCTCTGAGTTTGATTTAGTGGGTCTTTTCTAGACCCACTAAATCAAACTCAGGAAGATCGATCCTGGAGGCATCAATTTTTCCCGGAATGAAAACATGGCTCTAGTCTGACCCTATTTCTAACTTTCCCTTTCTCAAAAAAGGCCTCAAGAAAGTAGTGCCCTCCTGTTTGCCATACAGCAGTATCCTAGATTTTAGGCTGGGTTCTGGCAGACCTACAACACAGAGAGCATCCTGTGAAATAATCTCATCTTCAGCTGCTGAAGGATTCTTGTCTCTCTTCATTCTTCTTCTCTCAAGTGCAGCCTTAACCACTGAATTATTCCATCCTACCTGAGATTTGGGCATGCCTCTCTTGTTGCTGCTCTGCAGATGTCTTCTCTGATTTTCTTTTCTTGTTGCAGTTACATTGCTCTGTCTGGTTCCAATAACTCCACCACTGCACCAAGAACTCTCCCTATACCCATGCCTGTTGTGGTGGTCTGAAGCATCTAGGGCTGGCCACTATAGTGCACTAGAAGCAACTCAGGTGTCAATCTCTGTGACAATTCCTATGTTCTGTCTCAGTTCAACATTTGACTTACTGTTCTTTTCATAGAAAAGAAGCGAGAGGCAGAAAAGGCCTATTATATAGTCTAGCCCACTCCCTAGGGCCAGTGCAAGATTGTTTCTGGGTGGCAGTACATTTTCTTTTTTTTTTTTTGTTCAGTCTACATTTAAGCATCACAAGCAGTGGAATTTCCACCATCATCACACATTTCACCATCAGGAAGTTCATTAAACTATTCAGTCAAAATCTTCCTTTTATTTCATCTCTTTTGCAGGTACCAAGCCCTTGTTCAATTTTAAATAAATCTTCTCCCTCCTTGAAATCTATTCTACACCTTTCATACTGAAGGCTCTTACTGCTCAAGTCACTGAATATAAGTTGAAAAATCTTCCTCTTGTTCATTAAATTGGCCACTGTTCATATATTGCCATTTTATCTTTTCTCGCTTCCTTTTTTTTTTAAACCCATACTCAGTGCCAGTTTTCTGTTATGTTCACAGCATATACACAGAAGTTAGATAAAAACAAATACTCTTGCTGGAAGGTTGTGACATAATACTACTTTATTTCTTAGAATTCAAAGGATAATACCCCAAAATATAGAAAGTACGGGCTGTTCTTCAAGCAAAGAATCACAACTCTCTCCCACCTTGCTTGCTGTCTCTTACTCCCAGAGACTTCCTTACAGAGCCCCTTTGCCTGCAAGCAGAACCAGGAACAACCCACCACCACCTCTTAAAGAGATAGCTTGCTATTCCAACAGCTCTCTGTGCACCACAACTTTGTTCCCTGCTAGTTGTTGCTAAACCAAGCCATCTGTATTTAAACTTCCTTTTAAAAAAAAATCAATCCTTCAAGCCCCCTGAGCATTTTCACTTCTCTGAATTCCCTCCAGTTTGTCTTGCTCTTTCTGGTAATGAGGAGTGCAGAGCTAAACACAATCTTCCAGGTGTGGTGGCATCAGCCCTGTACAGAGAGACAGATTGTTACCTCCCAGCTCTGTGATATGTCTCTGTGTTTACAGCTTAAATTTGCACTGAGTTTCTCTTTTGACATATTGCTTAGCAACCTCATGTCTAACTTACTGTCCATTAGTATCTATCGGTCTCTTTCAGCATTAGCCAGACATCTAAAGTGCTTTGAGATAGATAGATGGAAAATGTCATACAGCTAGCAAGACAGATTGTTACCTCCCAGCTCTGTGATATGTCTCTGTGTTTACAGCTTAAATTTGCACTGAGTTTCTCTTTTGACATATTGCTTAGCAACCTCATGTCTAACTTACTGTCCATTAGTATCTATCGGTCTCTTTCAGCATTAGCCAGACATCTAAAGTGCTTTGAGATAGATAGATGGAAAATGTCATACAGCTAGCAAGTATTCAAAATCCCATCCAGACTTGCACTTCTTCTTGCCTAGTCTTTCTTTGTTGCTTCCTCGAGATCCAGATTTCAGAATGTTGCTGCCCAACTCTTCCTATATTCAGGCCTTGTTTCCATTATGTCAGGGATCGATGCTGCAGGGATCAATCCACCGGCTGTCGATTTATCGCATCTGTTGAAGACATGATAAATCAATCTCTGAGCGCTCTCTTGCCAACGCTGGAACTCCACCAAGATGAGAAAGGTAGCTGGCGTTGACAGGAAAGCAGCCCCTGCCAACCTTACCACACACAAGATACTACGGTGAGTATGTCGCCTTCATTTACACTATTTGCATAGCTGAAATAGATTGACAGCACTACATAGTGTAGACAAAGCCTAAAGGTGACACTACTGAAGTTTTGGAAAAAGTTCTCAACTTCAAAGTATAAAGGTCAGAATTTCCCTCTGTTTTAGGCTCTCTCTCCCTCATAAATTTTTCTAACTTTTTCTGATCATAAAGACGAGTTACTATCAGAGACAGGGGTGTCAGAAGAAAAGTTGATGGTACAAACTTATAAGTTCAAAACAAATACGTCACCAAGTTTAAATTTTCTACAGCCAAGAGTTCTGAAGGTGCTTAGACTGAAGTAGTTCAGCTGCTAACAAAAACAAGCAATCTCTCATTAACAGCTACAGTACTGGCGGATTGCAAAGCAGCAAATTTTGTAGGTAGAGAAAAGTCTCTAGAAGAGATCCAGGGAATTATAGACCAGTAAGCCTTATATTTGTCCTTCACAGACCAGCTGAAATGCTCATTAAAAACAGAACAACAAAGCATTGGGAAGATCATGATTCTGCACAGAAAAATTGTGTCTCGCTAATCTTAGAATGCCTTTTAAATGTGTCAAAGTACGGGACAAAGGAGAACTGCTTATGTTTCCAAAAGGCTTTTGAAAAGCTCCCCCACAAAAGGTGGGTTACCCTCTTTCAAAAAGGATATTGCAGAATTAAAGGGGGTTGAGCAAATGGCAATAAGAATTATCCTGGGCTTGAGAGAGAGATGACTGACCAGAGAAGGAAATGGTTGGGATTGTTACCCTTAGAAAGGAGACAAATAAGATAGGACAACATGACAGAAGTCTATGAAACAATGACTGGCATTGACATGGTACAGCAAGAGTTTCTGTTCTCCCTGTCTCATCACACAAGAGCAAGGGGGGCATTCAAAGATATTAAAAGGTGGCAACATCAATGTGCTTTTCACACTGTGTGTATTTAAACTGTAGAACCCACTAACACAGGAGATGAATGAGGCCAAAAACACAGCAAGATTCAAGAAGGGGTTGGACCTTTATACGTACAACCCGATTACCCAGAGATATAGCAGTTAATATTAACACATTTTAGATGGGATATATCTGGTGTTGGTCACTGTCAAAGACAGTATACTGGACTAGGTGGACAACAGGTCTGATGCAGTACAGCAATTCCCTCTTTCCCATAGTAATGCTCCGACTCATTTAATGGGACAGAGCAGCTTCCTCCCCACTTTTCCCCCAGTCTTGCCAACGTGCCTCAGCGCTTTCCTGAAAGGACGACACCTGAAGGAAGTTCAGGT